TATTTTTTTAATGCATAATTTTGAGAGGAGTAAACAATGGCAAGATGAGTTAAATAACAGTGCATGTAATATCATTTACTTTTGAAGGATAAACATTGTTGCATATTTTCCACATTACTGCAGTTGCATGGAGAGAAATTCGACTTGATAGTGGACATTAATTGTCCTTGCGTCCCTTTGCCCTTGATAAATCATGTAGCCAGTTATTATATTCTGGTAATGCAGACATCTTGCTACGTCATTTTCGTTGGTAATTTTAACTCCTACCTAATTTAAATGGTGTTAGGTTACTTGTAGTTCATTCACATATGAGAATTTTATATACATCCCATTTAAAAACGACAAATCATTTCACAGTGAAATGCATTTGTGCTAGATACAGTCTAAAACATTATAAGCGTGAAGGCAAATCAGGATTTCAGGTGAATTTTTCCTTATAAAAGAAATGTTTTACGTTCATTTTGGGCCTACAGCTAGTAACTTCTATTTAAAAATTGTTTTCTGTTGTTCTTTGTTATTTTTTGTTGCCTCGGTGAAATAAAACATTTCTCGTACGCAATGCAACTAACATACACATGGATAAGCTGTTTGGGTTGCGAATGAAAGCGCTAGGGACGACATTTCAGTCTTGTATCACATAACCATGACCACGCATCAGCAAGGCCTCAAACATAATCAGGAACATCCCTCGTTCAGTCTCACATGTTTCACTACAATCACGTACAGTATTTATTACCAACAGAGTTATGTCAAGCGTTTGGGGGCAGAACTCCAGAATCACTGATTTCTATTACAGGCAGAACTGCGCCACTGCCTTCGTATGACTGACAGTGATCTTGCAAAATAACAAATTAATGACATTACGCCATACATAAAAGTTTATAAATCAATTTTATCGTCTCTTCTACTCAAGTCACTCTTAGTACCGCAATCCCCGAGAAATTTCTAAAACAAATTCCTCAATATACAAGTGCAACTTACGCATCATTAATCTTTTATAGCAATAAACACAGGATGTATGCAATGAAAATCGTGACGAATATAGAAGACATAGAACAAGTAGAACACACTGCGCCGTAACAGAACTGTTAGGCTTATTTTGGACTCCATCCATCGTCTGGTATATAGAACACAAAAGAAACACAACGTTTCGGAGACTAAATCTGTCTCCGTCCTCGGGTGGATGGGGCAAGACAAACCTACACAGTTGGGCCCGTTAGAAAGAGCTAGTCCCAATCACTGGGCCCAACTGAGTAGGCTTATCCTGCCCCATCCACCCGAGGACGGAGACAAATCCGGACTCGGAAACGTTTCGGTTTGTTATCTTCTATATACCAGACGATGGATAGAGTCCAAAATAAGCCTAACAGTTCTGTACAGCCTACACCATCGTCAGAATCCTTTCAAGTCTACACAGCGCCATTGTTCCTATCTAAATACAAGACGCAATAGAGCACTGTGTTGTGTGCAAGAAGAAGCACGACTCCTGCAAGTTCAGTCTATTATGGCAGACGAACTTATATATTCATACTTGGTGACTGACAACTCTGGTTTCCTGAACCAACTCCAGGATGTATTACATACTGCAGTACAACCGTCTGTGTGTGTCTGTAGCAACAGATTTGAGCCTGGTGACATACGTACTACACACGTCGGTGTGGATGTGTTTCCCGACAACTCCGAATTGGAATGGACGAGACTGGAGGATTTATCCGGCTTGAGAGCGTAAGTCTGTTAGTTAACTAGAAGAATAATTATCTGCGTATACGAGGAAGTGTCTGTCAGATTTTCGTTATCTTGAGCAGCTGCTGATAGTTACGAATAGGACAAGAATATGCCAAGTATGCTTAAGTCAGTATTGTAATATCAACCTTCGTCGAAAAAGTTACCTCCAAATCAAAACACGGCATATTCTGTATAAACCGTCTTTCCAGGGTTTCTCACGTTCATAGAATGAACGTTAAAGGATATCCTGATTTCAAATTTCCCTTCAGGATTTGTAATACATAAAAACATTCCAGTGGAAGGAAAATATCGAAACGTGTAGCTAGAAATGGGATTATCGGATTTCCCCACTGAATTTCCAGCGGGCAATTTATGAGTATTAAGACTGTAATAAATTGCAAGGCATGTAGAGGCCAGTAAAATTTTAGTGACGAACAGTTAAAGCAGATGGCAATTAATTGTATATTTACACAGCTGATCCACAGCTATGATGCCATCTGGTGTCGAAAACATCTATTTCCCATTGTTCTGATCGGTCAGCCATTAACCATTTCCAGACTAAGCAGCCATACAGAATGTCCCAAAAAATGTACTCACCCTTTTAATGACACCAAATGCAATGTTCTTTAAAATAGATATAAGGTTAATGATTTAAATTGAAGAAAACAAGTCTACTGCACCATGCATGTTCGCAAATGTTCAAACTGATAATCATCATTATCCAAACAGAGCTGATAACGCGAAACAATGGAATCACAAAGTGTACGAAGCATTTCATTTGGAATTTGAATATATTGTCTTTCAATTTCTTCTTTCAACTCAAGGACCGTTGCTGGTCTTGCAGCATAAACCTTATCTTTGAGGTATCCCTATAAAAGGAAGTCCATAGGTGTGAGGTCCGGTGAACGCGCAGGTACCATTAACAAAATTCAGTTCTCCAGTCAGGACCGTTTTAATTGAGAACGTGGGTTAATGTTGGAACGTAACTTTTCCAATGGACGCTCGATTTTGAGATTCCTGTCTCAGTGAGTTATGGACAGTCAAAAGAGTGAGCACATTTTGGGGACATTCTGTATATAAATTTTATGTACATATATATCGGACAGAAATATTGCCCTTTGGAGTCAGAGTTTATTTCCTGTCTGAAAAAAAAAATCAGTTTAACAAACTCTTCCGTCCTCTTTGAGCAGTCCGACTGTACTTCTGTCTTTTCATCAGGCTCATAAATGATGTACCAGTATACAAGATGAAGGTTTTACACAACTGATCTGGGCTTGGAAAGGGTTAAGAAATAGCATGCTTTAATTGCAGTACAGCAATTCCTTCAGTCGGGACAAATTCGAGTCTGAGTGTTGCCATGGTTTTCCGAATTACACATCAAAGCGAAACCTATTCAAGAGCCCACTACTCTACGATCACAATGTTACGGAAACAGGTGACAAGCGGAAACAATATAGACACTCTACAGAGAGGGTCTTTGTAGACAATATGCAGGAGGACTTCTCTCAGAACACCAAGACAATCACAGATGGGACATACATTTAATGAAAAACAATGATATTTGATAAATCCATTTCAACGAAAATAGTCTTATCCAAAGTTAGTTTTATGATCTGAACGTGACCCATGACTGTTAATCCGACGTTACTCTAAACACTCTGATGCACTTCTGGTTTCGAAAATATCAGCTAGAAAATCTCGAATCCGATCATAGTCCACTAAAATGACGTGGAATAAGGTTAATAATTCGCTTTTTCTTTCTGTGGCGCTACAGCCCCAATTTGGGCCTAGGCCTACCTCCATGAAACTCTCCGTTTCACTTCGGTTTTTTCTAGATCTTACGCATTCGGTAGGACTCCTTGGGCGAGTGATCAGCTCGTCGCAAGGCCTCTACCTGTACACAAACACAGAAAATCGCACACAAACATCCATGCCCTGAGTGGGACTCGAACCCACGATCCCGGCTTCCGAGCGAGCGAAGACAGTGCATGCCTTAGACTGCTCGGCTACCGTGACCGGCAATAATTCGCTTACAGACGGCAAACTAATCTTACTACATTACTGTTCCATCTGTGTGAGTATAACACAACTATTTTCTCACTCAAACTTGAAAAAAAAAGTTCTAATTTTAAGGAGTTTTAAAACATTGCAGGTAGTTCGGAATTCAAAGACAAATTAATCTTTATGACGTGTCAGTAATTTTACAATATTTCTGTTGTTAATTCAGGGTATAGCTTTAACAATTATTACTGTTAAGATTTCCTCTTAAGCACTCACATAAATCGTTAGAGAGAAACAACAATCTCTATACTAATTAATTTTAAATTTTTACAGTATGCAGTAAACAAACAGAATTCTTGTACATGCACTTGAAATAAACTTTAACAACCCTCTCTGCTGAGTGGTTAGCACTCCAGCCTCGTACTATGGAACTCCCAGGTTCAAATTAGGGCTAGAGACCAACTATACTGAGAAAAATATTTCGTGGTTTTCTTCAGTCACCCAGGCAAATACAATACATCACATAAGACCATGCCCACTTCCACCCACACAATTTTGATTCCTTGTGCATTGATCGTTCTAAGATATGGCCCTTACAGTCTCTACTACAGACAGCATCATTAAATAAACAACAGCAAGATTTACTACTTTACTAATCCTGGAAAAATTTACAACAGTCTTTTGTTCTTCGATGTGGCAATACAGCGCGTCACGTTCTGCTTTTAAAATTTTGGACACCAATAGTTTTAATGTATTTACATGTATGATAAGTGAAAAGGGGGGAATACACAGAACGGGTTGCTCTTCAATACAAATGTACACGGTGATCATGTGATCGTCTGTATTGTTGACCGGTTATGCATAGAAAGGGTCTCGTTCATAACCACCACATAACACTGAGGAGCAAGTAGACAAATTGTATAACCAAAGAAAGCAGTCTTCTGGGACGTGGCGTCGTGTAGATATTGTGTTAACCGACGTTTCGGAGGAACGTATCGCCTACATCTTCAGGGTAGAAGAAAAAAGAAAAAAATCCGCGAGCGAGGAACCAACGTGAGCAGGTGCTAACAGAATAATCAGTCCTTCGAAACGTCTGTCAACACAATATCTACACGACGCCACATCCCAGAAGACTGCTTTATTCATAGTCACCACCGTGAAAGCCTCAAATCTTACAAATTATATAACCTTTCGAAATTCTCGGCACTCATTTTCACAAAGCAATGTTTAATCTATTTATCCCGAGAAT